CTTGCCTAGAATGTCGGAGGCCCTGGGTTCAATCCCTGCCTCCACACAAAACATTACAAACAAACAACAATGAAAAAAAAAAAAAGAAAAGAAATTTGCCTATAGTCTTTTAGTCTTTCCAGGGGGAAATTCCATCAGTCTTTTTACTTCAACCTTCATATTGCACGCTACTGTGTGTTTAATAAATTCCCCAAAAAGATGTTAAAGTACTAACTCCAAAAACCTGTAAATGTGACCTTATATGGATCTTTGTAGATTAAGAAGAGATCATTAGGGTAGGGTCTACTTCAGTATGACTGTGTGCTCATAAGAGGGGAAACTTGGATACAGGGACAGACACAGACATGCACACAGGAAAATCCATTAACATAAAAGCAGATATCAGGGTGATACATCTACAAGTCAAGGATGCTAAAGATTGCCAGCCAATCACCAGAAGCTACGAGACAAACATGGAGCAGATTCTGCCTCCCAGCACCCAGAAGGAAGCAACTTTGCCAACTCCTTTATCTTGGACTTCTATCTTTGAAAATGGTGAGACATATTTCTGTTTTTTAAGCACCTTAGTTTTGAGTGCTTTGTTGATGGTGGCCCTAGGAAACAAAAACAACCCTTCTTAGCCTGACCTTCTATTACAACCATATCCTTGCCTTTGGCCCCTAACTTGTCCCTGCCTCTCCTGATCACTACTTGAATAAATCTCATTTTAATCTCACTCCACTCTTCTCTCCTGATGCCCTTCAGCACTATTTCTGGTCAGGAGGTACCACTGGCACTTTAGGTGAGGTAGTTCTCTGTGTAGGACTGTCCTACACTTTGCAGGCTATCAGGCATTCCTGATGCTCTCATTCCCCCAGGATGGGACAAAGACCAGTAGACCACTACTACTCCAGAAGCTTTGGAGTCAGTTGCCTGCCAGGATTTGACTCAGGGGCCCTGCCCTCTTCATCTGTAAAAACTCAACAAATAACTACCTTGTCATATGACAGTGACATGACATTAATCCAACAAATTAAAGATCTAAAAGAACCTAGACATATTCTCACTGGTTCATTAAAGCATTAGAATAACTTAGAAAATAACACTTGTCTATTCTACACGATCATATTCTGACTTCAACTGCTTCAGAACTCTTTTCTAAGGCTTCCTTACACAATGCAGCTTCACTGAATACACTCCATAGGGATGCAACAGCTTGACTGGTACATGATAATTATATGTTTAAAATAATAATCAATCATGCAAAGTAGTGGGTATACATTGTACAGTTGAAAAAGCAAGACAACTATAAGCATAGTTTCTGTGTGTTCCCCCATTGTACCCACCTTCACTTGAAAATAGTGTCACAGACCTGGACATCCCTCGACAAAGCTCCATATTTTTCAATTTTGCTTCCAATTTCTTTGTCTCTTTTGCTCTCAGTGATGGTAGCTCTATAAGACCCAGGGATATACTGCTGTCTAGCTCATTTCACCCTCCCCCATCAAAATATCTCTCAAGCCAGAATCAGTCCTTCATCCCTCTTGATTAAGTATTTTGCATGCTAAATCTCTGAAATGTTAGTCAAAGCAGGCAGGAAGGTAAAGACTTCTGAAATCACATGGGGTGGGTGGTATGGTTACTCCCTGCCAGAGAGCACCTTGTTTCCTGAGGGACAAAAGGCTCCAGGACACAGATAAGAACAGATACTTTAAACATCTCTGAGATGCTGAGCACTGTGGAATTTGTTATCATGGGCTTCTCTCAGGAAGTTGAATCTATCTTGTCTTCAAAAGTGGACAACAGGGACTTCTGCTGCCCATCCACCCCTCCCCCCAAAGCTTCTCCCTTTCTAGCCTAAGCAAGATGGGCACATGAACTGTTTCCAAGGCTCCAAATCTAACTCAGTTCCTCTTCCTGCCATCTGCATAAGGCTCCCACATGCATATTTTACAATTTCAGGCATATTTCCTCCTTATCTGACAGCCTGCAATGCAGCACTCTATGTGATTTTATCTCTGGTAAGAATGTTCCTGAAGGAGGCACCTGTTTGGGGACTGTACTTTATTACTGCTGGTTTCACCTTTCCCATCTCATTTCCCCCCCCTGGTCTGTGAATTCCTTCAGGACAGAAACCACACCCTCTATTCTCTGGTTCCCCCAAAGACCAAGGACAGAACTGCGCAGGCTACAAATGTTTAAAAAATACAGTTGAATAAATACATGCATGAACTAATTGACTGATTTTAATGTTTTTAAGTGAAAAAGCCACATTAATGTATTTCCTGGATAAAGCTACCAATGCTTCCCCTTTGGGGTATATATTTAGAATAAATTAAATTTTAAAATGACAATTCTATGATTATACTATTTTCTTAGAATGGAAAAAAAATATCCCTTCATTATAACAATGAATGACAGCAACATTATCAGTTGTATAACAAGAGATTTCTGATTTGGGGGTATCCATGACATAATAATTTCGCATTACTTTCAATTCCTAGTAAAAGCAGACTTGACCTTGAGCCAGGGAAGATGACAGGGCAAACCCCCCTCCTATATTATAGGAGTTATTCCAACTGTTGAAGTTTCTGAGCTCAGAGGAATCAGAACAAGTAAAGAAGATTTTCTCTAAATAGTTTATTTAAGCATATTGCTAACTGCAGCAAAGTATCTTTTTGGAAATCCCTGGGACTTAGCTAAGTCTAATTCTAGTCACATTCCTTCCTTATAGTTTAATAAACTTCAACTAAAACCAAACTGACTTGGGAATCAAATTATTTGTTCTCTCATGCACTTGCTGGTCACACTCGAGTACTGAATAAAACCCTAACAGCAAGCCCAACACTGCTAGAATGAAAAAAGCTTTCCCAGGAAAGCTTAGCCTCTCCAGCCCAGGAGCTGACCTAAACATCTTCATTATTTCTAAGAAATCATTATTTTTGTATATGAGCATAAACTTTACATCACCAAAAGTATCTGTATTACAGAAAAACTATGTACTGATATGGGAGACAGTATTATAATTGGGGAGACTCAACGAATAAGGATAGTCTAAATCATGAAAAACTTGGGTCTTCACACAGTAGACCATTAAAATGAATAATTAGTGTTGGTGGGCTATGTGGTAACCTTCAGATCCAATGCAACCATTCCAGAACACATGCTACCAGGCAGTACAGGGATGGGACCGGAGACGACAACAGTGAAACACCTAAGAAAAAGAATAAACTCACTTTGCAGCTAATAGGTATATTGTTCAAGTAAAAGAAGCTCTTATAAAGCGTCTGTCACATTTTCTCAACTGAAGAAGTCAAAGCATTTGAAACCTAGAGTACAACCCTGAGTTATTCATCAAAATTCTTCTTTTTACAGAAGAAAAACTCAGGCAAAGAAGGAGTATCTAATCCAAACTTACATTACTAGCCAATGTATGCACTAAAACTTAAGTTTCTTAATTTTGGTTCCATATACAAACACATAACATTAAATTTAAAAATGAAAAAGCATACAGCAAGCAGGCATTAGCATCTGTTCATGGGATTGAAGAAAGATGGAAGCAGGGATCTAGAACTATTGATAGAATAAGCCAAGTAAGTACCTGAACTTCGACTTAGGCTGACTGGAGGTAGGCTAGGCTCAATACTATAAGGCATTCTATCCACAAGCAATAAAGTGCCATTGGAATAATTATCAAAGCAGGCAAGTTTGTGGTGAAACTAAAAGCATCTTTAGTAAGAAGTACAGGTTTTCAAACACATGAAGTGCAGCTTCAATGGGGAAAATCTATAAAAGGCAGGTATGACTAAGCAACCACAAATAATTAAAAACACCAGAAACTGTCAGGAGTTTGAGAACCAGAACATGCCTGCACAGAAAGATAAAATGGGGTTTCCCATATATTGTTCCTAGTTCAAATAGGGATCTTCATACTATGTAGATTTATTTTTAAATAAAAAATGTTAGTAATTTATAAGGATATTCAAATGATATCTTATTCTACCTTCTATTCCACCCACTTAAACAAATTTTGAGACACTCGGATTGAGCTACTAGGCAGGCAAACTTTAAACAATTAATATTGCACTTCCTGATGCATCTGATTACGTATTGCAGTATTCTTTTGAACCTATAGCTTAACTCTTAGCTAGGGAAACCAAATCTCAATAAACATGTAAAACACATGTGCTATATGTCTTAGTGGGCTGTCAACTATACTACTGAATTTTTCCTTAAAGTCTGACATCTTTGGTTATTAACTTTTTCTTAAAATTAAAAAAGTGATGTCGGAGGGGGGCAACTACTTAAAGAAACACATCATTCACCAAACAGCATCTAAAAGTAATTACAGACCACAATTTATAGATCCCCAAGATGAACCTTCCCACAGCATTATGAGGGGAAAGAACACACGCACACACACATTTCCGTAAAAATATTTATTGCACCCTGGGCAAAAAGTGATCAAACAATCCTAGCACAACAGGACAAACCTGGTTTACTGTTCTCTTTGCTCAGATATAAAAGTAAAGAAAGGTTCTCGGTTGCAAGTAAGAGGGTGGAGAGCAATTCCTATTTAAACTTGTCTCACTTGGGAGTCAGATTAGCAAACCAAAGTAGCCCAGAAAAGCTCCAGTACAAAATAAACGCAGACTGAACGTCCCAAATCCGGAAGGACAAAACTAAGGGAAGGGGGACCCACAAAGCTCTAGAACCACCCCCTTCCCCAAAATTCCGAGTCTCACTACAGGAGCAGGGGGCTCCCCTCGGACTCCATTTTCCCACAGCCTCGTCTTCTTCTCCAGGCAGCGCAGGGTGGGCTTGTGGGTGAGCCCGGGTCCCCCACCCACCTTACTTCCCCGCCTTTTTCATTGTTGTCCAAGTGTGATGGATCACCTGCCGGGTGCCGGCTCCGCAGGCGGTCGAGCCTGGACGCGCCGGGGCGAGCGCAGCTCACCTACCACGGGATCCCCGCCCAGCGCCCCGCTACCCCAGCCCGCCGCCGTCCCAGCCGCACTCACCGCCACGAAGCCCGAGGAAGAAGCGATGAACACGCGGATGACCATCCTCTCGCCGCGCGCGGGACGGACCCTGTGCGCCAAAGGGCTCCGGGCTGAACTGACGCTGAGGCTAAAGCCGGCTTAAGCTGCCTCCACGGTAGGCAAAGGCGCTGCCGTCGAGGAAGGTCGCCGGGATCTGGCTCCCTCCCGCAGGTCCGCAGATGAAAGCCCAGCGCCGCCCGGCCGCCGGCTGAGGGGTGGAGGGAGGAGGGAGTGGCTGCGGGGCGTGATGGGAGTTGTAGTTTCCGTCTCTCCCCAGTGTGCCCGGTGGACCGCAGCTTTCAGCCCCCTCCTCGCGTGCCTGGATCCCCTAGGCGCGCAGGTGGCTGGAGTGGGCACAGCAGCCCAGGGAAAACAGTTATTTGGGTGGCAAGAAGCCCAGTGATAGAAGGAAAAGGCAAACTAGGCAAAATGGCTTGGTTCAAAGTCCGAGCTTAGGTTCTGTATTGTGGTTTATGGTTTTAGAGCATCCCCACCCAGGATCTCCTACGACCATGATCGCTCCACGGAGACCCACAGGACTAGTCCCAGCGACCTGAGGTTGACAGATTGGGGCGGGCCAGGTTCTCAAGATGTGGTGTGTGTGTGTGTGTGTGTGTGTTGGGGGGTGGGGACTGGGCTCGCCTGTTTATCCAGCATCTCTGGAGATTGTAGAAAGGCAATTCTTTTAGGTAAATGAGAGGTTTTCTTTTTTTCTGCAGACGCTGAAAATTAGAAACCCAGATGAGAGTATAACCGATATTTTATTTTTCTTAGCAAAACTGTAATTGTAGTAGAAAAAATAAATACCAAGCGAAATTAGAACCCTTCTATCAACATTGGGAATCAGGACCCCACCCGCCCCACCCCCTATTCTACACAATAACTCTGCCTCTCTGTGCACCTAATATTTAGAGTGGAGCCAAATCTGTGCCTTTTTCAAAACTGCTGCACATTCCTGCGCAGTCTCCCAGGAGGCTGCCATTAAATAGAAAGCTTTTAGGTAGTTGTTAGTAGTTTAGGAATACTTCTTTAGCAAATGTTTTCTGTTTGAGAAAAGCTCCAAGCTTCTCACAGTTTGGTGGAAATGAATCCGTTTTTCCGAAATACTGTATTTACTTTCTTTGTTTCAGCAGGGGACTTTAGCAGAGTTCTGGGAACAAAGTTAATTAATAGGTCTAGAAAAAAGAAATTAGAAGATGAGATCTCTGGTTCTTTGGTAAATTGCTTGTATAAATCATTCTGGTGTATTTTCTAGAGCAATTTTGGATATTAATTTCTAACCTTTCCTATTGCTTATCTTAAGTAAGCCATTCCTGTGGTATTCCTTTTTTATTAGTATAGTAAAAGAACATACAATCCTGGTGGAATTTCATTTCTTCTTAGAGTTCAAAAAATTTAAATTTTGCTGTAGCTTGTGTATGTGTGTGTGTGTGTATATATTTAATTTTGCAAATATATTTTAATTTTGCTACTTTAAATGTGGACATATATGTTTATAATATATAATATAATTCTCATAAAATTAATATCATATTTCCTTTGTAAATGCAAGTCTTTACAAAAATCAACATTTTCTTCATTTTGGATTGTTTAGTTGTGAGGATATAAGCTCAATAAATTTAACTCAGAGCCTATTCTATGAGAGGTACCAGAATGGAAAAAAGTTAAGTCATTTCTTCGGTCAGCAGAGCACCTATTTTCTGTGAAACAAAAAGATGGGTACAAAAATAGCAACAGAAGGAGGCACACTGTACTAATAGAATGTTGTGTCCCTGACCTTTTGTAAAAGGGACTTTAAAGATGAATACAATGTCAGCTTGCAGATATAAAAGATACAAAGTAGTATACAGTGTATAGGGAAAACAGGAAAGAGCTGGTATCGCTTCAGAAAAGTCATGAGGAGGCTGGCAGGAGAAAAAGTTCAAAAAGTAGATTTGAATGGATACAACAAAGGATTCTTAACTGGCTTACCAACCCAGCTCCTTTCACTTTCTGGGATCTGTTTCTCAGCTCTGATCCTAGAGTGATAGAGGTAGAACCTCAACACAACACCACCACCAAAGAGTGTTCATACACCTTTTCATACAAAAAGAGCCAGCCCTCTGGCCATAGCTGATTGGTTTAAGAGTAAGTGCCTGAATCAAGCAAGGTCAGGCCACATCCCTATCCTAAGGATTTGGATCTGGGACTGGAAAAGTAAGAAAACTTGAATTTATGACCTAAAAGCTCAAAGCTTTCAAAAGCTGTGCTAGTCAGCTTTCCATTGTTGTTGACAAATATCAGGTATAAATAACTTAAAAGAAGAAATGTTTATTTTGGCTAATGGTTTCAGAAATTTCGGACCATGGCCAGTTGGCTTCATTGTTTTGGGACCTGTGGTGAGGTAAATCATGACTGCATGAGTATATAGTAGAGGAAAGTGCTCACCAAATAGCATCCAGGAAGCAAAGAGAGAAAGAGAGGAGGAGCCCAGGTCAATATCCCCTTCAAAGGCATGTCCTTAGTGACCTCAAACCTAACTTCCATTAAACCCCCATCTCCTAAAAGTTTCACCATGTCCCAGTAGTGCCACAGGATAATGACCAAGCCTTTAAAGCATAAATCTTTGGAGGACATTTAATATTCAAACCATTAATAGAAACCATGTTCTAACATGAGAACCAGAGAATGCAAAGAAACTAGTCTTTTAGAAGAGTACAATAAAGCAGCCATGTGTTGGGTGACAGAAATTTCAGAATCCTGACAGTGCTTTAATCTAGGGCATCCTTAAACTACAACCTATGTGTTGAATTTGGACAACTATTTGTTTTGTAATTAAAATTCTTTTTTTTATTTTAATAAATTTTTTATTTGTTCTAATTAGTTACACATGACCGTAGAATGCACTTTGACACATCATACATACATGGAGTATAACTTCTCATTTGTCTAGTTGTAGAGTTACATGGGTCATGAAATCATACATGCACATAGGGTAATAATGTCCAGCTCATTCTACTATCATTTCTATCCTTAAACCACCTCCCCCCTCTTTAGTCCCCTCTGTCTAGTCCAAAATACCTCCTTTCTCCTCGCTCCCCCTATTGTGAATTAGCATCTTTATATCAGAGAAAACATTTGGCCTTTGGTTCTTTGGGATTGGCTTACTTTTCTTAGCATAATATTCTCCAGTTCCATCCATTTACCGGCAAATGTCACAATTTTATTCTTCTGTAAGGCTGAGTAATTTTCCATTGTATTTGTGTGTGTGTGTGTGTGTAATTTTCTTTATCCATTCATCTGTTGAAGGGCACCTACGTTGGTTCAATAGTTTAGCTATTGTGAATTGAGCTGCTATAAACATTGATGTGGCTACATCACTGCAGCATTCTGATTTTAAGTTTTTTCCCAACAGTGATTCTTTTTTTTTATTGGTTGTTCAAAACATTACAAAGATTCTATTGGAACATATTCCTTTTCATATTATCTATAGCAGAGCAACAGAGACCATATGATCTGCAGAATTTGAAGCCTTTACTATTTGGTCTCTTACAGAAAAAGTTTGCCAATTCCTGTTTCTGGTTTAACCTGTTCCTATAACCCTGCTATTGAGGGAAGTGTAATATCCTTGTATCCATGGTATGTTTCTAGTTTTATTAAAGCCACCACCCAACAAAAATACAAAGAAAAGTGCCCTGAGAATTTTGCATTTAATTTGTAAGCATTCCAAGGATCTGCAGTTGAAGAATATTACTCTGGTAATAAATGCTTTTTCCCATCCTTATTTAAACAGTTAACCTCAACAGTTCTATGCACAGTGAAGTGTGTTAGCAGTTCAGGAATCAGGCAAGTACAGAGGTGGGACCTGGAGTTAGTAAACAAAGTAGAAGAGTGATTGAGGGTTGAAAGAAACCAGGGATATAAGCTACAAGTTCAATACCAAAACCAAGGTATCATACCATGGAGCAGATTGGATACCAATCAGATGAGTAAAGTCTTTAGATAGAATAGGCAGCTAAAACTTGAAGACAGAGCTCAGAAAACTGATTAGATCATTAGGCTTTAGAAAAGTTGCTAGGACTTGTCCCACGTACAAGTCATGATAGACTATCTGGCAAAACTGTTTGAAATAAGTGTCATTACATTTTTGTGTGTGCAGTGGAAAACTAGGGACTTTTAGCAGTCTAATGAAATGAAGTCCATGGACCCTTTCTCAAAAATATTTTTGTTTCCAGTACTGCATAGAAAATAAAAAGGATTGCAAAGGAAACTAATTACATTGCAAAACAGTTATCAAAAGAATAAGTACATTTTTCGGGGGGCTGGGTTTGTGGCTCAGTGGTAGAACACTTGCCTGAAATGTGTGAGGCACTGGGTTTAATCCTCAGGACCACATAAAAATAAAATAAAGGTATTGTGCCCATCTATTGATTAAAAAATAGTAAATACATTTTTGATATGCTATATTAGTATTATTGCATAAAGGTCTAGTATAACTAGTTACCCTGATTCTGAAGTAATCATGGGAAAAACAAAATTTTGCAATATTTATAATTAGAAAACAAAACTACCTATGACTTCTATTAGTAATTAAATCAGAAGTATTATTCTTGCTGTGGTTTATTGCCTACATTCATAATTGAAGGAACTGGTAAATTTTAGTTAGCATTTAGTAAAAATATAAAGATGTAATTTTTTTTTCTCATTCAGGTTCATGAACCCTTTTAATTTCTTCCAAAAATCTCTAGGTTTGAGTGGGAGGAGGTCCAAGAAGAAACCCAGGTTAAGAAATCATGGAGTCTGTATCCAAATCTGTAGAAGTCTGTGATTGCATATAAGAAGAATGTGTAGAAAGAAACAAGAATTGAAAGGAAAACAAGGAATAAAAGCATGGAGGAACCATCAGAACTGTACAAAATTGGAAAGTATACAGTAGCACAGAACCCAAGAGTTTAAAGTGTCAGAAAGTAGACAACAGCTAAGGAATAGCTTAATAGCTAAAGGAAACAAAGTAAGGAATAGCTAACAGCTAAAGGAAATTCCCAGTCCATTTGGTCACAGATGTTTGGACATCTGTGTACTTGTCCCAGATGACCTAGTGTAGCTTGAAAATAATTTATGATATACATATATATGACCAGGCTTGAAAATACATGCTAGCCCATCGAGTTCCTGTCTCAGGAGTTTCCAGTGGGAGAACTGATGACTAAGGTAGTTGG